CAAATATTTATTAACTTGTGTATTAACTTATATAACCTATATATATATATATATATATATATAAGTTAATAAACATAATACGTTCATATATGTTAATAAATATTTTTTTCATTTTATTACAAATTTGTTAATATTTTTAATTTTATTGAAAGTAAATATTTTTCATTCCATGACAGAATTAACTTTTACCTAAATCAACTCTTTAAGTGTCTCATTAAACTATCACAGTATTAAAAGGTGTATTTACCCACCTTTTCCCATCTTCCCTGTAGTCTGGAACTTCGAAATCTAGAGTTGGAGACGGTGATGGCAAATCTACACGAAGAGCTTGACCAGGAGAAGAAGAAATACACCATGGTGGAGATCAAGCTAAGAAATGCAGAGCGAGCCAAGGACGATGCAGAAAAGAGAAACGAGATGTTGCAGAAAGAGATGGAGCAGTTCTTTTCCACCTTCGGAGACCTGACTGCAGACTCGCGACAGCCCGACAGAGCCAACACCATCTGGATCCAGTGAGCCGTTAACGGTCTGCCATTAACATTACATTGTGTGGGCTTGTGTTCAGACAGAACGAGACTAAATCAACCTTCAATTTAAAACAAAAAAAAAACAGTGGGATGGAAACACCTAAATTGCAAAAAAACAAAAAAAAAAACCAAGTAGTAATTACAAAAAAATAAAATTACTTTTGATTATTTACTTTTTTAATAAAATAATAAAAAAAGTACTTATTTTGCATAAAATAAAACAAATATCTATTTTTAATATAATGAAGTGATATTTATTAACTTTTTAATAAAATAATGTATATTTGAAAAAAATATATTTATTTACTTTTAATAAAATAAAAATCTTTATTTCCACCTTCGGAGACCTGACTGCAGACTCGCGACAGCCCGACAGAGCCAACACCATCTGGATCCAGTGAGCCGTTAACGGTCTGCCATTAACATTACATTGTGTGGGCTTGTGTTCAGACAGAACGAGACTAAATCAACCTTCACGTTTGGTGCAAAGGTTCGACACGACTGAGCGAAGCCCATTGAGCCAAATTTTCAGAACTGAACGTGGACCAGTTGTTGGATTGAACCAGTTGGATTCAAGAAGAGGGATGATGGGACGATGCAGCTTGGATGTTAAAATAAAAGATGATTTTCAAACCAAAAGAAGGCAATTCTGACCTGAGAGCGAATGATAAGAGGAACTCTTGATGGTTGAGGTTGAATGCGAGGGAATGAATCAATTACATGAATGAACATTGAGTTTTAGATGATGGGAAACTCCTGAAGGATGACAGAAGCACGAATGTCACTCCTATTTCTTCTTGTGATCCAACCAAATGTGACCTTGAGCTGTCATGTATCCTCTCGTGTATATAAAGGAGAAACAATTCTCAAAATTCCACAATGAAAAACAAATGTCTGTATAAATGCAAATTAACGTTTAATGTACGTACTGATATTTAAACTGACAATTCTCAATGTGTTACATATCGATTTTATATCAAGGCTTTTCCTTGCACTTAAAGCATATGAGTTGCTATGTTGTTTTTCAGTATGGTACGTTATGAGATGTGGCAAATATTTTAATATCAGTCTTCCCTGTTGCTTTTTTGCATAAGTTGTCACTGCAAATAAAACATTTTCTTCATCAGTATTAAAAATGAAATTAAGCATAAATCTATATATAGATATATATATATGAAGAATCAGATTTTTTTGCAGTGCCACAGTGTTCCCCACATGACCAAAACCAAGTAGACCTGTAAATACTTGTGAAAACACTGCAAACGCTCAGCCTGTCTTTGTCATTTGTGCCTGTCGCACATCATTTGCTTGCAGCGGTGCTAGACGGGAGGAAGTGTGTTAAAATGAAGACCGAGATGGGGTTTGTTCATCTGGGGTCATTTGCCTTGTCGCAGCTGTTCATGCTTCTACTGTAGCTTGATGCATTCAGTGAAATGCAATGAAATTAAATTATGTGACCTCATTTACACTTGTCTTAAATTGTGTTGTGTCTTTGTATCAGTCGCTGGGCTCGACCACACATGGAATCTGTGGGTGGTCTGATATTTACAACCACATTAATAAGACTACAGCCTCCCAAACAAATCTGGACATTTTCCTTGAACTAAAGTCGATGTCCTAAAAAAAAAAAAGACTGTTGTGTCCAATCATTATAATTCTTAAAGAGATAAAAAATGCACCAAAACACACAGCAATTATGGGAATATTGACCCAGTCTGAATCTGGGTGGGCTTTTATATCTTTTCTCACTGTAATGCATTTGTGTATGTGCAGGTGTGGATGTTCATTTAGGAACATTTCTCAATATTGTGTTGCAAGCTCTCACTAAAAGATGCAAGAATAAATGTAAGCATCATTTCCAAACCTGCATGACTTGAAAATCCATAGAGCTCAAAAAAGAAAGCATGATAAAAGTGTTACATTTGACTATATTCCAAGTCATTTTTCACAAATTAACACTTCCTCCACCACAGCTATCAAATCTCATGTGCTTTGCACAAAGTCACACTTGATACTGTACGTCACATATGGACACAAAACACACATGCACCAATGACAAGTGCAGCTGTAGTATCTTTCTGAAGGGTTTTTATGGTATATTGCACTCACACACACACCAAAAAAAAAAAAAAAACGGTTTTTGGAACAGTGTTGTTTTAGTATAATTCATGTACTAAAATGATATTTATTAATATTTCCGATTTTATTTATTTATTTTCAGTTTTCCTTTAAATTCAAGTTTGTTTGTTTTTGTCCCCCCCCCCTCCCCCCAATTTAAATTTCTATTTCTATAATTGTTATTTCCGTTTTAGCAATTGAAGTATTTGTACTTGGGCAACATTTCTCATTTTTCATCTTTTATTTATATAATACCGTATTATTACAATTTAACTTTTCGATTAAATGTAATTTATTTATGATGACAAAGCAAACCATTTTTAATGTCCAATCTCCAGTGTCACATGATCCATCAGAAATTGTGCAAACTTTATTTTATTTCAGCTTTTTTTCAATTAACCACCACTATGTTTAATGGCTTTAGTTAATGATGGCAACACAGCTTTGGAACAGAATGAGGCTAATTGAATAACACTTTTTATTTTTTGGTGTTCTTATGAACTAATCATTTGCTACAGACTTCTAGCGCTGCCCCGGTGCACACTGGGAATTAACATCCTTGTCATCTCACCCAGTATAATGGTGTGTTTGAATTTAAAGCTCCCTCTAGTGTATTTCACTGAACCTATTAGAAGAGCCATCAGGGGGCCTTAACTCCATCCCGCAGCAGTCTGGCTCACACTCCGCACTTTTCTTCACTGGATAATAGGCTTAAAGCAGCCGGACAAAGTAAACGCAGCCTGCAAATTCCATTCTGAGCTACCAATGACAGAAATGAGCGGGATCCAGGAATATTTTCACGCCAAGCTTGAGCTGAAGAATACAAACCTCTGGAGCTGGAGAGAAGCACAGATAATAGAGTGCTTCTCATGCAGGGACCATCTTTTGTTGGCGATTTGGGTTTTGCACTATTTTATAGAACTAAACCAAATGAGATGGAAGTCCACTGTAAGGTAACAGAGCTATTGAGATGATAAATATGCTTCAGTCAAGAGTGTGTGTGTGAGAGAGGGTTGAATAAAATAAAATAAGAACTGTATGGCAATGGCCCTAACAAGGTCAAAAAATATCAAACCATTTCTGCTAACAAATGCTTTCACCTGGGTGTCAAAGTGAATTATAGTGGATTCAACTCAAGTTCATGCAGGTGTTCAAGCAGAATCAGTTTATCATTCAAAATCTTTTGAAATGTTTAGCTTGAAATGTTTCCACTCTATTTGGACAATGCATTTCCAAGGCCTTTTTCCAGTCATTTTTGAACACTGGAGAAGGATTTTAAATAAATTCAGTGATGAATCATTCAGAATGATTTGTGAACCAGTCTTACAGAGTCATTAAAAAGTATGAACTCGAAAAGAAAATTTACTCATGCATTGGACGTCACGCCTTCTGTTAGTTTGTATGCTACACAACAGCAACTTCTATCTTCAACAAATTGTGGCATCACATAATTAAATACACATACTTCAATTTAACTCAGTTGCTGCCTTAAAAGTAATTAAATTGGCTGTACAAGCCATTTCTACTTATATTAAACTGACTTTAACAATTTTTAGTTGAATCTCACGTAACTTTAAAAAATAATTGAAATTGGATAAATTATGAGTTAATAAAACCATGTCACCATGACTAGATGACTTTTTTGTACACTGCGTAGGAATGTCACTTCTCACATTTCACCCTCAAACAAATAACTATAACTTCTCATGAAACTGAGAGAAAACTATGGAAAGCTAAACCTGTGCCATATTAAAATCTAGTTTGGCTCAGAGGATGAATGTAATGGTATTTGATTATTAATATAGGCAAGCATCATGGTGAATCTCTCTGTGTTGAAGGATTAATTCATATTCAGGAGTTGTGGACTCTTCAAGGGTGGACTTCAGAAGGGCCAAAAGCACAAATCTCAAAAATAAACCTAAAAGCAGCTTTCCTACAAGATCTGGCTCACTGGATTCTCAGAAGGAAAAAAAAACAAAAAAAACTTTTCTCCCCCTCTTCACTATGTACTAAAAGAAAGAAAAATAAAATTCTTTCTCTGCCCACTTTCTCAACACAAAATCTCTCCTATCACACAAAAACCTTCAAGAATTAGTTCTCTCACAAACAAACATAAAAACTCCTTTCTCTTTTATCAGATGGCCACAATCGAAATGGGGGCTTTTAAATGTTTCTCTGTAACCTGCATCACCTGTCTTCACTAATTAGCCAAACTCACATCAATTAACCCATTAAAGATTGTGCCACAAAAAACTTCAAAAGAGGATGACAGAAAGACAGAGATGAAATGTCTTGACAAGCTGAAAAACAAATATAGCTGATCAACTTAATTAAGGTCTTTCTAAGAAAAAAAAGTATCAGTGTTCGGGTCAGCTGGCATAGGCTGTGAAATGAATTAGCACTTCCACATCTTGAGAAATTCTCGGAAAGACTCCATGTGTGATCAGCTGTGATTAAGAGGATCATTTTACCTTTGAAACTTTGAATCATAGAGTGATTAATACTTTAAACCCTTAACTTCAGTGCTGACTGCAGACTACTTGAGTGTGAACCACAGCGAGCAGCGAGATTTTTTCTGAATGACATTTTTCATTACAATGTTTTTACTGTTTTAATAGGTGTGTGTGTATATACGGTATACAGTATATATATATATATATATATATATGTGTGTGTGTGTGTGTATACAGTATATATAAATATATACTGTATATTGAATTATTATATACAATGATTGATGAGTTTATTTTCATTTAATAATAAAATCAATGACATTTTTCATATGTGTTTGTATTATACATTTATACTGATTATGAATTACTTAATAATTTAGCATGTTTTTAGGTAACTTATTAGTTGACATCAGGAAATTTAGGGTTATGTGGCATGCTAATGTAAACTGAAATACTGAATTAAACAGCATCTTGCTGTTAATGCAA